TTAAGAACAGGAAAGATCAAATGAGTTATAGCGACAGGAGAAAAAATGTCTTTGAAAAGAGAATATATATTTGACATGTTCAGTGTATAATTATATATATGCACATAAACCAAGAAGTAAAGAAAATAATATGAATGATAATCAATATTTATATGTTTATTTGTCCAAATAAAGTAATCTGAGAAAAATAAACTAAGAACTAAATTCATGCCACCTCACAATATCTATGTTAGGAAACAAAGCAGATTGTATATGTTATGGTTTTATTTCAATGAAATAAAAAGCAAGTAACACAAAATACCCAATCTATGAGTGTCAGCTTTGGGTATATTTGCATTAACAACAATACACACAGATCATAAATGTGAGTTACCTCCAGAATTAGTTGAGCCAGAGATTAGTTAGCTCTGTCATTTATTCATCTTAATAGATTGTCAGTACTGAAATAAGAGTTTGTCCCTTTTTAAATTGAAAAACTTTATATAAAATAATTTAAGTTGCTCAACAAATATTTTGAAGAGCTTTAGCCTAAATATTATGAAATTCCATTGCAAAAAATGAGTTAATATTTAATTCAACAAAATCAGATGTGATGAGTGCAATATTGTGGGAAGCACTATAGCGGAATAATTGTGTTCACATTTTAGAGCCAAAGAGACTGGGATCGAATTCTGCCTCCGGCACACACTACCTGTGCAATCTCAGCGAATAACCTAAGGGCATCGTGTAGCAGTTTCCTTATATGTAAAGTACAAATAATAATAGGAAAAATAAAGATACCAATTGAAGATTAATCATATTTCTCTTTTTTTGAGGATTTTTTTATTGCTGTTCAAGTACAGTTCTGCCTTTTTCTCCCACCACTCCTCCCACCCAGCCACTCCCACCTCCCTCCCCTGATTCCACTCTCCCCTTTGGTTTAATCCGCATGTCCTCTATAGTTGTTCCTGAAAACCCTTCACCAATTTTCCCAATAGAAATAACACACGTGAAACTCTCAATAGCCTAACATAGATTAAATGCCAAATATAGGTTAGTTGTTATAATTAAGAAGACAATGTGCAGTAACAACAAAGGGACAACTCATAATATCTCTTGAATATTATATCTATGCTACAAAGTTTAAAAAATTTACAAATCTCTAGGATTTTCACAATAGCACAGGAGATCTATTACCTCAAATGTATGTCATTAATAGTTTTCATAAGAAAAAATTTCAGAAAGGCTAAGTGATTTAGCCATTGTCTACCACAAAACTTAGATTTCCTATTTCTTGTTACAGTGGTAGCACCTTGGACAGTTAAAGAACCTTAATTTATGGTCCCGGCTAGTGTGGCTCAGTGGATTGAGTGCTGGCCTGAGAACCAAAGGGTTGCTGGTTGGATTCCCATTTAGGACACATGCCTGGGTTGTGGACCAGGCTCCCAGTAGGAAATGTGTGAGAGGCAACCACACATTGATGTTTCCTTCCCTCTCTTTTTCTTTCCCTTCCCCTCTGTCTAAAAATAAACAAACAAAATCTTAAAAAAACAAAACAAACTTAAGTTATATTACTGAAATACTGAGGCATGCCCAGAAAGTATTCAGCCACATACTATGAAAAATAGAAACATTTATTGAAGAAAATACAAGAAACATTTAAGGTAGACGATGATGCCTTAGTCCCCTTCAAAGTAGTCACCTTAGGACCTCATAGAGTTCTTCCAAATCACCATCAGCTGCCCCATCACATTTTTTTGAGTCTCACTGATGATCTAAAATCTCTTTCCTTTCAAAGGTGATTTGAGTTTTGGAAAAAGCCAGAAGTCACAGGGTGCCAAATCTGGGATGTAGCAGGGCTAAGTCACATGCACGATTTGGTGTTTCACCAAAAACTCTGCACAAAAAATGAAGCAGTTGCAGATGTGTGGTGGTGGTGAAGCTGCCAATGACCAGTTGCCTATAGCTGTGGCCCTCTGAGTCATCCAAATATTTTCTACAGAGGAATAGTCAAGCTTAATGCAACATTTGTTGCAGATTCTTGCTCTACTTGCTCAGTCCTTTTGAAAGCCATGGCCGCCACAGTCACATGCTCACTCAACGGTGTCTACTGACCCCACTGACTAGTACAGTGAAGTCATCATGGTTTACACATGCACATTCCTATCCACTCTCCTTGGCTGCCAGGTTACATTGATGTCATGAAAACTGTTCTCATTATATTAATAATGGCTGGTCTTTTTTCTGGAAAGACCTCTATTTCTGAATATGTGTTATGAAGTATCTTCTGAAAATTTGAATAAGGAAGTATGAATGTGTGGCCCTTAATTTAAAAAAATGTGTTGTATGAACAGTTGCATAGTAATTACATGCTTATCATTAGTTTATGCTTCGCTCATAAGAGATAGATATCTTCATGCCTTTCCATTTTTGTCTCAAGTTTTTATTGATTTTTGTATTTATAAACTTCTCAAATGTATCTTATCTTCAAATATTGGCTGATATAGTAACTTGCCAATGCAGTTCAGTAAGGACTGAGAAAAGTAATTTCATATTTGGCTCTGCTTATGGTTTAACCTTATTTAGACAAGGACACACATAAGCTGGTATAATGTTTCATCTTGTGTAAATCTACTGTGGTTTACAGAAGAGGCCCAGGTCTTGTGCCACGCCCTCAGCGACTGCTTCTGTGACTGCTTCTCCCTCTCTCCTGCCTTAATCCCCACAGTACTTAAAAGTCTGAGATACTGTGTTAGAATCTAAGTATAAAGGGACTTGTGAGTTTTTATAATTTTATATATTTTATCTTCTCAACTGCATAGTGAAATCATTAAAAATAGGAGTAATTCCTTTTATTTTCTTTGTATCCCTCCAGTTTGGAAGATATATGTTCAGATAGCTTTTATTTTGTGGTTTAGAAAAACATTATCCCTTATAACTTAAATTAAAACTGGTGTTGTTGTTATGACTATGTCTAAGAAATGCTCTGGTTTTTTTTTTTTCCAGGTGGGCAAAAAATTTCCAGAAAATTCTCTTAGAATTTTAAGAATGTGAAGTTGATATAAAGATATTAGAAAAACTTGAAGTTCAGAACATGCCCCAGTTCCAGTATATTAGGCAAAAACACCAGGTTTATTCTTAGACACAATTAAATACTTATGGACTTTGGGGACATTTCATAATTTCCTAGTTGTTTTACTAGAAATTAGGATTTTATACAAGTATAAGGAAAGGTACTACACTTCAACCTCTCTCTGCTCTATTCTTATTCTTTTACATATGTAAGCCCGGCATATGTAAAGAAGCAAGTGTGAGGCTAGCAATTTGAAACTATTTTTATTGTAAGTGTCTTTGGTGTTCATAGATCTTGTGTGCATGACAGCTCTTATACTACTAAGCTATTTTTTAGAATATTCTTGTCATATGTACATCACCACATATATGGGGATCAGGGAACTGTACTGTAGAGTCCTACTGATTTGGATAGCACCTTATGGTCTGTTGTATTCCTTCTCTCTCTCTCAAATTTGGGATCTTTGTCCCATTCAATCTTAGTCTTGAAAGTAAATAAATATAATATAGGAATAGTGTCTGGTATTGTAGTACTAGCCATTTAAAAATGCTTTGTATATACTAAATGAACTGTCCATGTTCTTCTTCTACTTGTATAGTAGATCTCATCCTTTAGAATATCTCTCAAGTAACATGCCATTCTGACTCTCACTTACCAATCTTTCCCTCTCTACTACATCATCACCTGCAAATACCCACATGTTACTTCTCTCTTCAGAAATATTGCTTTCTTGAACCTTCACCCTTCATATCTATTTCTCTACTGCCCTTGACACCTATATGTAATATAATGCTAGAGAACCCTAAAGTTCTCTTCTTCCTACACTCAGTCTTTAATTATTTTGTGAAGCCTCACACATCTCTGTGGGTTTAAATAGCACACGTGTTACTAGTCCTCCATTATCCATGAAGGATATGTTCCAAGACCCCTAAGGGATGTCTGAAACCTCAAAGAGCACTGAATTCTAGATATACCATGTTTTTCTTATACATACATACATACCAATGATGAAGTTTAATTTATAAATTAGACACAGTAAAAGATTATTAATAACAACTAATAATAAAGTATAGTTATACTAATACATTGCAATAAAAGTTATGTGAATGTGGAATTACTGACTACAATATGGGTTACCTGAACACAAGCCCTATGATACCATGATAGTTGGTCTGATCATCAAGACTGCAACTAAGTGACTCATGGACTGATTGTGTATAGAGCACAGATGGACTGGACAAAGGGTTATTCATGTTCATTCAGGGGAGGACAGAGTGGGACAGTGCTAGAATTCATCATGCCACTCAGAGCAGCATGCAGCTTAAAGCATTGTTTGTTCTAGAATTTTCCGCTTAATATTTTTGGACTGCAGTTGATCATGGGTAACTGAAATTATGGAAAGTGAAATCCAGGTAAAGATGGACCATAGCATGAATTCCTAATATTATTCCCAGATCAGGTGTCTTCCTTGAAATCTGGATGAGTTATAAAATTTTATGCAAAGTAAAATAAACCAGGAAGTGAGGAACAAATATCATATGATCTCATCTTTAAGTGGAACCTAATCAACAAAACAAACAAGCAGGCAAAATATAACCAGAGACATTGAAATTAAGAATAATTTGACAGTAACCAGAGGGAAGGTAACCAGAGGGGATAAAAAATATGCAGAAGTTTTAATTAAGCCTTTAATTTACAACGGAGATATAGAGAACTTTTTTCAGTTATGTTAGTTATTAGTAATACTTGGTTTTAATACTAATTTGGAAAATTTAAAGTATGATATCTTTAAACAATATCCAATAGAAATCTGATTTCTTCTCCTAGAATATCTGACATAAAACATGATATTTTTCTAACTTGTAAACCCAGAATCACAAAACAGAATATAGATAGAAATTTAAAGATAAGAGAAAATAAAATAATGATTGATTTCTTCTTATTTCACCAATTAAAATCTCCAGCACAATATTAAATAGAAAAGGTCACAGCAAATGTTTCTTGTTCTTGGGCTAAAAGGCATGTTTTTCAATTAGCAATAATCATGCCTCAGATAAACCTCATTAGTTACAATATTGCCATTGCACAAAGCTTAAAGGAATCTTTTTCAAAATTTCAAAGTTAACTATGATATTTGCGGTAGGTGTTAAGTAGATATTCTTGATCAGTTTCTGTTTCTAGTTCATAAATTATTTTTGTTAAACTATATTTGTGTTATACTTTGTTAGTTTATTTTTTGCATTTAATGAAAACTGTAGATGTTTTACTTTTATCTAACACTCTATAGTTGTTCATGTCACTGAGAAATAGAGCTGGTTTAAAGCACTTTCAACATTTGATAATCAATACATTTTAATTTTTTAAATTTATTTATTTTTAGAGAGAGAGTAAGGGAGAGAGAAAAAGAGAGAAACATCCATGTGTGGTTGCCTCTTGCAGGCCCCCAAAGGGGACACGGCCCACAACCCAGGCATGTGCCCTAACTTGGAATCGAACCAGCAGCACTTTGGTTTGCAGGCCCACACTCAATCCACTGAGCCACACCAGCCAGGGCCAAGAAATTTTAATTTTTAAAAATTGTCTTCCATTTCATGCTTTTATTTTCCATTAAATCTGAACAAAAGTGAAACTTTGTATCCAATAATACAAGATGTATCTTTAAATTTAGTGCTGTAGTAGCCAAAAGTCAAAGTACTAATAATATATTATCTGCTATATTTTCATTTATTTTGATAACATTGCAAGGACAAAATGCTCCATTAATTGGCAAGAAAAGAACTGACAGACACGTGTCTACATTGCTGGAGTGCTGCTCTGTGCAGGGACGTCAACCTTACCTTATCAGTTTACATTGGACAAAACAAATATTCCCAGGGAGAAAACCATACACAAGTACTAGTCAATAATATGTAACTTTCATATATATGAAAGTCAAAACTTAAATTACTTCAGCTTTTTGTATACCACATCACCACCCATGCATATGTCATTCCCTGTAATTCACCCATTAATTTGTATTACACAAAGACCCAGTATGGTGCATACTGGGCTATCAGGAGAAAAAGGCAGGATTTCTGTTTGTTCATAAGCCCATGAAAAAGTTTTAAGTAAGAAGTAAAACTGTACCAAGTCAAATTAACATTAGTAGAAATATTAATTTAAAAATCTCCAGATAGATTTCACCAGAGCCGCCAAAAGAGTATATATGCTTTGAAACACAGTCTCACTAAGACATATTTTTACAGTCTTCCAGGCACATTTTTATGAAGGAAACCAGAGCTTTCTCACTTTAAAACTGAAGATTATTTTCACATGTTGTTTCAAATGTTAGAATTTAATTGGCTATATCTAAAATAAACTGCACCGATTCCTACTATTATAAGAATCAGGTGTACTAATCATAACATTCTTAAAAATAAATATATGTCTATAATATTATGGAACTAGGTGTACTTATTTTAGGTAATCAGTAAGTAAACAAATAAATAAATGGAACATGTATTGGGCACTTAGTATATGCTGGTACTCTAATTACTATTAACTTTAATACTTGATCTCTGTTACCTTGACTTTATTCTCTTAGAACACAGAAGAGTAATTACATAAATTGAGCAGTTCCTGCCACTATAAGGTATAACCCTGACTTATTCTTATAAAGAAAATTATTAACAATAAAGGAAGAACAAGGTTATCACATCATTAACTATTTTTCTGCCAATGTATTGTACATCTTTCTTTATATTTATAATAATTATTATAAACCAACTAATAGCAAGAGAAATAAAAACATAATAATATCTCGGTACATATTTGTGAATTCAAATGAGTACAATAGAGGCTTGCCATATAAAAATACGGTGCAGACACTGCTTATTGCAAAGACAGCAAAACTGTCTGTACCTTATCTGGAAGAGATTATGATCTTCCAGATAAAACTGGTTTTGAATAAATGAATATATGCGGAACTGTGGATAATAGAAACACTGGCAAACATGTCTTGATCTGCATGAGCCTGCTTTGATGTACCTAAGGATGAATGTACACAGCTTCAAAACAGGAAACACTGTTTTACTTTAACTCTTAAGAAGTGAGACTCAGAATCATACTGCTAATGCGCCCACCCAAGCTAAAGTGTTCTTTAGTCAGCTAGAAAATTCTGTATAATTCCTTGCTAGTCTGTTTTGTAAGTTTTACCATTCCCATACTTTCTCTGCCTCCTGAAAACAAGAGAGTGTCCCTGGGTATTTGCATGCATGTGCCAGGAAGAAAGGAATAAAAGAAACATGTTTCTGTTCAACAGCCCAAATTACTCATTCCTATGAATAGTCAGAAGAAACATTTTGGAAAATTTTACAATTAAAACACTGCATTCAGTCGTGGCACAAAGAACCTCGGTGTAGTTTGAGGGTGCCACACGTCTTACCACTTAAACCTCCACCAAGACTCTGGGAGACATTTCGCTCCTGGCAATAGTTGATACTCATTTCCTCAGGTAGTAATCACCCTAGACATAACACACCAAAAAGAGGTGTGATTTTCAGTTGTCCCATCTGTAACAGAATAAAAATAAAGTATTTTATAAATATAATAAAAGCAATTGATCACAAAAAAAAAAGAGAAAAAGAAAGAAGTGTGATTTCCTAATCAGAAAATCTTTCCTAAGCATTGACTCCATACTAGGCAATATATAGGAATGTTCTGTCCACTAGAACATTCTTCATTCATGGAAAACCTCATTAATTGTTAGGTATTACACAGGGGTATGAAACACTTGAAATGAGACTAATGTAACCAAGGAAATACATTTTAGTTGCAATTATATCCAATATTTTAATTTTAATAGCTATGTGTGACTAATGGCTATCATACTGGACAGTGCGGTTTTGGGCCCTGGGATTTCTTTCAATAGTCACCAAAAGAGATCAGGTTCTAGCTTACAGGCAGCCTCAATTCTAGTAGGGTCTATTAGGCAATAATTACATAAACAAATGTAAATGCTAGATGATAAGTGCTATCTATAGTGGGGATTTAGAAGTTCAGGAATTGGGGTCAGTGCTATTTTAACGAGGATAGATAGGGTAAAATTTGAGCAAAATCTTAAAGCGTGTAAATGAGACATGCTGGTGTATTTGGGGAGAGCATTTGAAGCAAGAGGGACAGAAAGTTCAAAGCCTTACTATGGGAGTATGCTTCATTTACTCAAAAAAGAGAAAGGGAGCCACTCTGGTTTGAGAAGAGACAAGTAAAGGGTCATGGAAAACGAGGGAAATCACATCCTTCAAAGCTTGGTCAGCTCAGCTAAGAACTTTGATCTTTACAGTCAGTGAAAAAAAAGCTACTGGAGTATTCTCAGCAGTGAAATGGCACAATCTGAGTTATGTACTGAGAAACAATTAAAATTTCATAATGCATAATTAGAGAAATCACAGCAATAAAAATATCCCGTGCTGAGCATGTTGCAAAGCAATTTTGAATTCCATCTCACAGCACATAGTCAGTTCCCACTTATCCTCAATTACCCAGACAAAGGTCTTTCTCTTGCTGCCCCGATAATTCACACAAGTTTTTATTCTTATATTTTTTGTAGGACATTTGGAAAACAAAAATAGCACAGTAATTTTGGAAATTCTAAACTTCTTGAGGAAATTACCTGCATTTCTTTTTCTATTTCATTTTTCTTCTCTTTCTTTTTTTTATTCTCACCTAAGGGTGTGTTTATTTATTTTAGAGAGAGAGGAATAGGGACGGGGAGGGGAGAGAGAGAAAGAGAGAGAGAGAGATCTACTTGTGGCCTACTATATGTGCCCTGAGGAAGGATCAAACCATAACTTACTTATGTGCCCTGACTGGGAATCGAACCTGCAACATTTTGGTGTACAGGATGATGATCCAACCAACAGAACCACCTGACCGGGACCCTTTTTCAATTTCTTACCTCTAATCAATGGCTTACTTTAAGCCACGATAGAGTAACTTCTCAGAAATCAATTTCATCCAAGTCACTGACTTCCTAACTAAATCTAGCACATTCATTCATTTATTTTATTTGATCTCTTGGCATAACTGAGCAGTGTTCGCCCCACTTTTTCACTTCTAATGAATTCTGATTTTTGGTATCCAAGATAAAAACTCCATCCTGAATTTCCTCCACAAGGCCCTGACTCTTCATCCGCAGTCCTTCTGCCTGTGCGGTCTGCAAGCTCATTCCTTCAAAACTGAACTTCTTTGTGTCCTGGCCCTGTGGCTCCTGTCATCTTCAGTTACATAGTTTCCCTGGGTTATTTCATTCATAGCTTCTGTGATACTCTGTACCAAAGACTTACGAATCTGAATTTTACATCTACTCATAAGCCTCACTGTTGCCTACAATGTGTCTCCCCCCAAAATCTACTTTTATTCTTCTAATCCTTTTTCTTATCTAAGTATCACCAACACATATCTAATTGTTGAATTCAAAACTTAAATAAGGTGTCTAAGTCCTAAAATTCATACTAATCAAAAATCATGTGTTTATTTTATGTCATATACATCATACATTACAGAACTTTTTATATTTCTAGAAAAAAGTATATCACTGACCTCAAAATCAGCGGTCAGCCTCCAATATGTGACCCTAAAATATTTGACAATTTGATTAAAATTTTAATGTCAGTTTTCTTGAGAGAGGAGAGTAGGAAATATCTTTGTGTGTGTTAGACTTCGTCCTTCCACTGAAGGTAAAACCATTTTGTGGAGAAGATCTGACTTCCATACTCCCAGGAAATGTGCAGGTGCCTCACAGAAATGACTGAAATGCCCAACACCCTGGGGACAATGACTGTAATGCGTGGCAATTCTTTTCATCTTCTATGTGTCACCTGAGAAGAGCAACTCTCTATGAAAGCTGTTCATGGAACAATCTGCCCAGATACGTTTAGAGGTCCATTCATTTTCTCCAAAGTCCTTGGCATCGCTCAGGTAGTATTCACACACAGTGGAAAATTCACATTGTTCTTCTCCCTCCTACTTAGGATAGCTATTGTATGGTAGTAAAGGTAGGGGCATTACATCCACACACTTCTGCTAAAGACTTTTGTCACATGCCCTGAATCAT